ACCAACCCTCTGGTCCGGCTCGGGGCAGGTGAGTCTGAGGGCTGGGACCCCCGGTCTTCTGTGGGAGCAGGGGTCCATGACCCTAGGTCCTAGAGCCCGGCTGGGCTCTACACACTATGGCCTGCTGCAAAGACAGACATGGGAGGCTTGGAGGGGTGCATTTTTGCTTGAGCTGTCTGACCCAGAGCCCTGGTGGCACAGTGGTTTATATGTTGGGCGACTACAGACCAATAGTTCGAAACCACCAGCCGCTCAGCAGGAGAAAGCTGAGGCTTTCGACTTGTCAAGAGTTAACAGTCTCAGAAACCCAAAGGGGCAGTTCTCCGCTCTGCCACTGGGGTCTTTAGGAGTCAGAATGGCAGCGAGTTTGGGGTTTTTCTTTGGCTCCGCCTCCGGCCAGGCGGGGCCTTTGAAGTGAAGCAGCACAGTTTCTTCCGAGACCTGGACTGGACCGGGCTGCTGAGGCAGAAAGCTGAGTTCATCCCCCACCTGGAGTCCGAGGATGACACCAGCTACTTCGACAGTGAGTGGGGACAGGGTGGGATCTAAGGCGAGGTGGCCTGGGGTAAGGTGGTGTAGTAGTTGCAGCGCGTGGCCGCTAACTGAAAAGTTGGTGGTTCGAATCCACCACCAGCCCCTGGGGGAGAAAGCCGACAGTCGGTTTCCGTAGAGATGACCCCTTGGGAACTGGGGGACAGTTCCACTCTGCCCTGAAGGGGCGCTATGAGTTAGAATCGAGTCCACCACACCTTTGGTTTGGTTTTTGAGGCTTGAGACCAAACTGTTATGGAGGAAGGACTAGGAGGCTGTGGGCGTGGCCTGCTGTGAGTGGGTGTGGCCTGGTATAGGGGTGGGGTTCAGTCTGCTAGCTGGGCGAGAAATGATGTTGGAGGCCTAGGTTTGGGCTGGGGCTAGGCCTGGGTCAAGGTTAGGGTCAGGGTCAGGGCTAGGACCTGGAATGTGGCAGAGACCAGCTGGTGACTACAGCCCTAGTGACTACAGTGAAGAACCCCTGAGGGTCGGAACCGGGTAAGCCTCCTCCCATCTGAGGGCAGGAGAAAAGAGTGGAGGTGTGGTCTGACTTGCGGGCCAGACTTGAGGCAGGAAGGGGCTCTGGCCTGAGCATGACCTGTGGCCTGGTCCCCAGCCCGCTCAGACAGGTATCACCATGTGAATTCCTATGATGAGGACGACACGACTGAGGAGGAGCCCGTGGAGATCCGCCAGTTCTCCTCCTGCTCCCCACGCTTCAGCAAGGTGGGCCGCGGGTGGCGGGGTGGACCTGGACGGAGGAAGCTCCCCTGGGTGGCGGGGCAAGGAAGCAGCAGGGAGCAGGGTACCAGGTGCCCTAAGTCTTAGACTGAGCAACTTCCTGAGGGCACAGGTCTGGGAGTAGGGAGTCCTGGGGAAGGATGGGCATCCAAGAGGAACCTGGTCAGTTGAAATGATACCACCCAAGGGGCGGAAGTAGGTCAGGTGTTGGGGAGGAGCTACACTTAAGGGGCGGGGCATAGGGTTGGGCCTGGCCAGGCCCAGAGAAAGGCAGGCCAAGGAAGGGCTTCAGGGAAGAAGTTTGTCGTAGGGGTGGGGCCTCGTCTGGAAGAGGACTTATATAATTGGCTGGAGCAAGGGAGTGGGCGGAATTGGGAATTGGGCCCACCCCCTCAGCCTAGGACCGTGGATGGTGGAAAGGCTGGAGCTGAGTTGAAGGAGGGCAGTCTGGGGTTTGGGGTATCCCGGAACTGCTGGGTAGGGCCGGCCTTGGGAGGGTGGGCCCAGGAGCGGGCAGGTGATTGGTCCACGAGGAAGCCATTCTTGCCCTCCCCACCCTGTGCAGGTGTACAGCAGTATGGAGCAGTTGTCTCAGCATGAGCCCAAGACACCTGTGGCAGCGGCGGGAGGCAGCAAGCGGGAGGCGAGCACCAAGGGTCCGGAGGAGAAGGTGGCCGGCAAGCGGGAAGGGCTGGGCGGCCTGACCCTGCGCGAGAAGACCTGGAGAGGGGGCTCCCCAGAGATGTGAGCAGGGCGGGTCAGTGGGGCGGGGGGCGGGCCCAGTGGGGCGGGGCCTCCTCTAAGCAGCACTGCCCCGCCTCCACTGCACAGCAAGCGCTTCTCCGCCTCCGAGGCTACGTTCCTGGAGGGGGAGGCCAGCCCCCCGCTCGGCGCCCGCCGCCGCTTCTCAGCCTTGCTAGAGCCCAGCCGATTCAGCTCCCCGCAAGAGGACGAGGATGAGGCTCGTCTGCGCAGGCCCCCTAGGCCCAGCTCTGATCCCCCAGGCTTGCTGGATGCACGGACCCCCAAAGAGGGGGCTTCAGGGGACTGCAACGCCATTTCCGGGGACCCTGACACGAGTGAGTGTCCCTTTGTTCTACCTTCCTCAGTTTTCCAATGCCCGTGTACTGAGGATGCCATGAGCCTCGGGTACTGTCCCCTATATGCGCCATCCCTTTGAACCTGCATTACACCTGGAGCTCCAAACAGCAGGAGGAACAGCCTGTAGGCCAGAGTCAGACAGTGACCGTGTACATCTGAGACGTTCCGTGGATCAGGAAGGAACCCTGGTGGCATAGTGCGCTACACGTTGAGCTGCTCACTCCAAGGTCACTGGTTCAAACCCACTGCTCCAGTGTGTTAGGCTGGGTTGACTAGAGACACAAATTCAGCGACACTCATATATGTATAAGAAGGAACTTTATATCAAGAAGTAATCTTGTATCAATAAAACATCCCAGCCGAGTCCACAAGTCCGATACTAGTCCCTAAGTCCCTCTTCAGACTCACACAGGCATGTGCAATGATGCAGGATGTAGGAAGATCACAGGCTGGCGGGTGCCGTTGTGTGCATCCAACGGCGGTGGCCCCATCACAGGGCTCCCACAGATCTCAGCATGCTCCTCAACAGGAAGGTGGAGGCAGAGACAGAGGGCAAGGGGAGATTCCCAGGACCCTCCTTATGAGAAGGCCACACCCACAAGGAGGCACTATCAGGGTGTGGCCTGATTGACAATCTAGACTCCACCCCTACACTGACATGAAAATACGCAACTACCGCATCCAGTAAGATCTACAGTCTGGGAAACCCAAAGGAGCAGTTCTGCTCCGGCCTAGGGTCACTCTAGGTTGAATTGGCCCGATGGCAGGAAGCCGTGCATGAGTCCATCAGGAGCTCTGCAGAGGGCACTTGTTACCAGCACTCAGGAAGTTCCCAGAGCAGCAGTGGAGTGAAGTGGGAAGCATTCCAGAGAGAGAGAGAACAAACAGGAGAAGTCCTTGGCTGGCCTGGTCTCTCACTCCTTTGCTCTTTGTTGTAGCGGACCGCTCACGCCCGGGAGACCTCTGCCCACCCCTGAAGGATGGAGACCCATCAGCCCCCAGGGCTACCAATGACTTGGTTCTTCGCCGGGCACGGCACCAACAACTATCCGGGGACCCTGCTGTAGAGAAGCGGCCTTCTCGAACTGGGGGCAAAGTCATCAAGTCAGCCTCAGCCACAGCCTTGTCCGTCATGATTCCTGCAGGTGATGCAGGGCCCCACCTGGGAGTGGAGGGCATGGTACTGTTTCCACCAGGGCTGGCCAATAGAAGCACTGCACACCCCGCCCTCCATAGTGATTGCTTCAGGAATGGACCAATGAGAGTCTGCCCTGGGATATTGTCTGACTCCAGAGGTCTGTCTCTTGTTGGCTCTGACCCCTAACCATCATTTGTATCTGCAGTGGACCCACACAGCAGCTCACCCCTGGCCAGCCCCATGTCCCCACGATCTCTGTCTTCCAACCCATCCTCCCGGGATTCCTCGCCCAGCCGGGACTACTCACCGGCTGTCAGTGGGCTCCGTTCCCCCATCACCATCCAACGCTCAGGCAAAAAATACGGCTTCACACTGCGTGCCATCCGCGTGTACATGGGGGATTCAGATGTCTACAGTGTTCACCACATAGTCTGGGTAAGCCCTCATAGATGAGGCTGTGCCCTCCTAGGGCAGGGTCTTAGGAGCCCACAGGGATAAAGGATAACTCCCACCCTAGAGCCAGGCTGTGGGGGGTAAACCTCCTCTGGGGTTCCCTTGTTGCTTCTCCAGCCTTAGTTTCCTCAGCTGTAGAATGGTGGGAATAGTCACTATTTATAGAATGCTGTGAGGATTATTGTACATGTGGGTCTGGGTCTTTGTTATCTTTTCTTCTCTTCGTTATCAATTCTTTTAACCCTGCCTCGGTGGGTTTGCCCCAACTCCAGCATGTGGAAGATGGGGGGCCAGCGCAGGAGGCAGGCCTCTGTGCCGGGGACCTCATCACCCATGTGAACGGGGAACCTGTGCATGGTATGGTGCACCCTGAGGTCGTGGAGCTGATCCTTAAGGTAAGTGCAAGAGAGGGGGTGCAGTTAGCAGGGGGTGGAGGAGCCCCGAAGGACCTGGAGTTTCCTGTACAGCATGAGCAATCATCCCTCCATGCTGCCCCTAGAGCGGCAACAAAGTAGCAGTGACCACAACGCCCTTTGAGAATACCTCCATCCGCATCGGCCCCGCCCGCCGCAGCAGCTACAAGGCCAAGATGGCGCGAAGGAACAAGCGGCCCTCCGCCAAGGAGGGCCAGGAGAGGTGGGTGGCGACCCGGGCCACTTGAGAAGCAAAGACAAAAAGACAGTGAAGTGAGAAAACTAGGAAAGGAAGCTGCACTTTGATTCTGGACTGGGAGAAAAGGATCGTGGAAGTGCCTTGGGAAGATGGGCAGGCCCAGTGGTGAACTCGCACTGGAGGGAAGGACCAGGCCAGACTGGGGAGGGCGGTGCCAGGAGATGGCCCTGCCCTATCCCATGTGCTGGGCTGGAAGCAGCTCCAGTCGGCGGTATTTCCACATGAGTGAGTGCGGCAGGACCGCCCTGATTGAGATAGTGCCTTTCCTTATGGGAAGAACCGGGAGAGGTGGGTGGCTCCCAGAGGACGTTCCATTCCCATGAGTGGGTTCAGCCTGGGAAATGAGTGGGTGGGGATTGGAGTGAGGAGTGACAGGCAGTACTGAATGAGCCAAGTGTGTTTCTTCCTCTTGTGATAGGCTGATGAGGGTGGGGCTAGGCGTGGTTGGGTGTTTCCAGTGAGAATGAAGAATGGCCAGAGAGGAGTGGGTGAGGCCTCGTGGGGCGGGGGGGTGGGGTGGTGCACAATGGGCGGGACTTGGCTCGGCTCTTCCTGTGCTGATAGGTGTGTGGCAGCCGGGGAGGGAGGGACTAGGAGGAGGGAATGGTTCAGAGAGTTGTTGGGCGGCCCGAGGTGGGAAGGGCTGGGAGGGAGATCCGGAGTCAGGTCGAGGGGAGGTGGTCCTCCCTGGTTCTTCCCCAGCAAGAAGCGGAGCTCCCTCTTTCGGAAGATCACCAAGCAGTCGAACCTGCTGCACACTAGCCGCTCGCTGTCGTCTCTGAACCGCTCGCTGTCGTCCAGCGACAGCCTCCCGGGCTCCCCTACGCATGGGCTGCCGGCACGCTCGCCCACGCACAGTTACCGCTCCACGCCCGACTCTGCCTACCTGGGTAGGCGCTGCCCTGGGGCGGGGGCACCCCTGGGCGGGGGCGGGGCTGCACGCACCCTCGGCGACACCCACTTTCGCCTGCAGGTGCCTCTTCACAGAGCAGCTCACCCGCCTCCAGCACACCCAACTCGCCGGCGTCGTCCGCGTCGCACCACATAAGGCCCAGCACGCTGCATGGCTTGTCGCCGAAGCTGCACCGCCAGTACCGCTCCGCACGCTGCAAGTCAGCGGGCAACATCCCGCTGTCGCCCCTGGCCCACACGCCCTCCCCGACGCAGGCTTCGCCGCCGCCGCTGCCAGGCCACACGGTGGGCAGCTCGCACACGACGCAGAGCTTCCCTGCCAAGCTCCACTCGTCGCCGCCCGTCGTGCGCCCGCGTCCCAAGAGCGCAGAGCCCCCGCGCTCGCCACTACTCAAGCGTGTGCAGTCAGCGGAGAAACTGGGGGCTTCGCTGAGCGCCGACAAGAAGGGTGCGCTGCGCAAACACAGCCTCGAGGTGGGCCACCCGGATTTCCGCAAGGACTTCCATGGCGAGCTGGCGCTGCATAGCCTCGCCGAATCTGACGGCGAGACCCCCACAGTTGAGGGGCCTAGCGCCACCAGGCAGGTGGCTGTCCGCCGCCTGGGTCGCCAGGAGTCGCCCTTGAGCCTGGGTGCGGACCCGCTGCTGCCCGAGGGCGCCCCCAGGCCACCTGCCTCGAGCAAAGAGGAGGCCCCAGGTGGAGCAGAGGCTTGCACCCTGCTGCGTGCGACCACCCCGGGGTCTCGGACCCTGGAGCGGGATGCCAGCAGCACGAGGCATCAGAGCGTGCAGACTGACGACGGCACAGGCTTGGCGGCCAGGGGAGTGGCCAAGGCTGCGCTTAGCCCCGTGCAGGAACACGAGACAGGGCGGCGCAGTAGCTCTGGCGAGGCAGGCACACCCCCAGTGCCCATCGTCGTGGAGCCGGTGGGGCCCAGGGCCAAGGTGGAGGCCCCACAGCTTCCAGGCACGGACTTAAAGCAGCAACCCGTGGTTCTGACCACCCCGGTGCCAGAGACCCTCAGAGGCCGGGAGCGCTGGGTGCTGGAGGTGGTAGAGGAGCGGACCACACTGAGTACCCCTCGCACCAAGCCTGCCTCCCCCAAGCTCTCCCCGGACCCCCAGACCCCTGCCTCATCAAATAATGCACCCAGCAGCATAGGGCCCCCAACCCCACCTTCTTCCCTTCTGGCCCCAGGGACTAAGCCTGAGCTGGGGCTACCCTCCCGGTGCCCTGTTGAAGCTGTGCCCCTTTCAGGCCTAACCAAAAAAGGGGCTCCCTGCCCTGCGCCCCCAGGCCCATAACCCAGGGTTCCTCAGGCCCTGAGCTGTACAGCTTCCTGTATACATATGTACACATATAAATAAAGTACATCAGTGCTGTGTGAACATGCTGATACTTGCCCCACCGCCCTCCCCTGGCAGGCCAGGATACCAAGTGGCCCATCTCTCCTGTGCTTGCAGAGTGGAAGTCTGGTCTCAGGTGAAGACTTGGGCCCTTGTGGTTCCACGTTCAGCTTCACCTTCCCAACTGCCAGGCTGAAGAAAAAGCTAACTAAGCACGCCATCTAACCATTTTCTTTTACTACTCAAAAATCCTGAGCGGCTCGTGTTACGATGGCCGCTTCCGCAGGTGAGAGCTTTGAGTTACAGAGAGCTTAGGGCACATAATCCATACAACTGGGAGTCTGGAATTCAACCTGCCTGCCTTCAGGGTTCCCAGTAACCAAAACCGGTTGCCATTTGGTGCATCCATTCGGACTCTCAGTAACCCTCTTGTCAGAGTACAACTGCCCTAGAAGCTTCCATGGCTTAACAGGCGTGGACATTGCAGGCATCAACTGCCATGTCTCTTGCCAAGCAGTTGGCGGGTTTGAACTACCAACCTGGCAGCAGCTGAGCGCTTAACCACAGCACCACTAAGGGTCCTTACAGGGTTCCCAAGCCTTCACCAATGGCTGGAAGGCCTTCCAGAGAGCAGGCAGCTGGGCACACAGTATGCCCCCACCCCGCTGTTTCTCTCCCAAGTTCCGATTCATGTCTCCCACACAGGTCCAAGGTCCTTTGGGGGCTACACACCACTTGGAGTGGTCATTTGTGGAACTGAAGGTTGGCGCAGCTGGCCCAGGGAAGCCTATCTGGGTCACATCCAGGACATCATGGCCACCTGAGCAGTTGGAGGGCAGAATGCCAGCAGATTTGTGCCAGAATTGGACTTGTAGGTTGCTGTCAAGGGCTGTTGCTAGCCAGCCGGAGTAGAGGTCTGTAAAGGATGGAGAGAAGATATTGTCAGGGTCAGGGCCCTTGCACAGAGATTGGGGCTAAGCCACTTCTCTTGGAGCTCCGTTTCTTTTAAATATCAGTTCTCAGCAGCCCTGCAGTGACAGCATAACATCCACAGCCCTTCCCAAGCACTTGCTAGGCATCATCTCACAGAACCATCGCAACGGTTCTTTTGGGTATCCAATGCACAAATGCATTTGAGACAAATGCACTGAGGCTCAGGTTCAGTCACACTGCCTCAAACCAAGTTTTGAACCCAGTTCTGCCAATGCTACACCTTCCATGGGATTGACTCCCAAAGAGCGCCAGTCTCTATCCTTGGTCTGTCCTCAGGCACACACACCAGACACAACCTTTTGCTGAGGAAGTTTCCCAACCCCCAATCCTCAGGGCTCACCATCTCCAAAGTTCCTGAACTTGGCAAAGCTCTGGAAGGTGACTCCTGCCCGAGATGTGAGGGTCACACTGTTGTTCCAGGGTCCTCGCTGAACATGGTGGCCCTCAACCACCTCCTCCAGGTCAGGGAATTTCTGGGCAAAGTCCCCTTGCAGGTTGTGGTCATACACCAAGGGGTAGGTGTAGGTCAGTTGTTTGCCTGGAGGCAAGAAGAGCGAGGGAGGGGGTAGTGTGGGGTCTGCTCAGCCGATGGTGTGGGTATCTGGGACTCATTCTGCCTTGAGAGCCCCACTCACCAATCATCAGGAACTGGGAGAGGGGGAAAGACACACAGAGCAGGGTCTGGCCATAGACTCGGGCACTAGGAGGCCAGCTGTACCCCGCAGAGGAGGCAGGTGGAGGGAATCCAGGCACGCTGTGGATCAACCAGAAGCCCCCTTCTTGGTCCAGGAGCAGCACCCCTGCAGCAGAAAAGGGGAATCAGTCTCGTTGCTCAAGGCATGTCAGTGCGCATTTATGCATTTCCGGACCCAAAATGCCCTCCATTTTGTGAGGACCGCAGGTGGCGTTGCAGGTTATGCACAGAGCTGCCAACTGCAAGGTCAGCAGTTCCAAACCACCAGCCGCTCCACGGGAGAAAGATGAAGTTTTCTACTCTCAGTCTCAGAAACCCAGCGAGGCAGTTCTACTCTGTCCTTTATGGTCGCTAGGAGTGAGCATCAGGGATGACAGTGAGGTGAGTTGAGTTGGGAAGGGTGCGGGCAGTGTCAGGACCACCGTTGCCTCCCGCTGTCAATGAAAACTTTAAAAGCAACAGATGGGTAAGGCCAGAAAGAACAGGCCGCGAGCAAATCAGGGGCCAGCTGGAGGAAATTCCAGGGAAAACCTCAGGCTGCTCCTCACCCTTTGTGTGCCCACGGCTGGCAGTGCCGGGAAGCTTGTTTGGCAAAGGCGGCTGGTCATTGTACAGCAGGAAGGCGAGCTGGGGGAAAGGACCAGGACAACGGGCAATGTAAGGTTCCTCCTTGGGGGGGCCCACCCAAGAGTCCCAACCCGGGTTCCTCCCCGCGCCCCTTCACCTGGCTGGCGTTGCTCCGGTACAGTGGCAGCAGGCTGCGACCCACAGCCCCCGCCGAGCTGTTGATGGGCGCCACGCCATCGCGCCAGCCTCCGGAGTCCGCGTCCAGGTACTTGTACCGCAGCCCGCTCCCGGTCGCGTCCCCAGACCTGCTCTTTCCCGGCAGCTTGTAGACGACAAACCTAGAGGTTAACCAGTAGGAAGATGTGGGGAAGGGCGGGAGGGGGAACCCTAACCCCTTGCCCTGCCGCCGTTCAGGAACCCCGGGGTTCCTGCAGTCCCTTGGCCGCCGTGCGAACGCAGGGAGACGGTCGGCGCCGGCCCCTCACCAGTCCACAGGCTTCCCCGAGTCCCCGTAGCAGGTCAGCGCCCCGGCCGGAACGGCCAGCAGCACGGCGAGGAGCAGCGAGCGCAGCGGCGCCATGGGAAAATCGGCCTCGTGACGGCAGGGTGCAGGGTCACGAGCTGGGCCCTGCCGGGTGCGTCTCTCACTTCCCCAAATTCGCCTGGAAACGCGCCCCGCGAGACCAAAAGCAGAGATTTAGAACCACAGCCCAGCCCTCCTCCGCGAGGGGCGGGGCTTCTTTTCAGGTAGGCCCCACCCCTGACCCGGCCACCCCGGGGCTGACTCCAGTCCCACGGACACTCTTCCGTGATAAGACTCCACCCTCTCCCCAGACCACGCCCTCTTCCGGCCAGGCTGTGGTGCCCGGCCTCCCGACTCCACTACTAGCCAATCAGAGCCCACGCCCCTCCCCTCGGTCCCGCCTCCCCCCCCATCTCCCTAGAGTCCCACCAAGGTCTCTAGACCGTCCAGTTCTTTTGCACTCCTTCCCCGAAGCTTCCAGGCACAAGTCGAATTTTTTCTTGCGTGTATAATATCGAGACCCGACACTTTGTGAATCTTGCTCTTTCCTGGATCACCCCTTTTCATTCTGCACGTTCTTCCCTAGATACCCCTGAGCTAGCCAAGGGGGTCGCTCTGAATTACAACAGGGGAGGTTTATTAGGCCTTTGGAGCCACGGCTGAAAAAAGAGGGCGACATGGATGGCAGGGGACACTGGCCGTGTAGTCAGATGGTGGGGGGAGGGGTGGCAAGGTCAGAATGAAGAGTAATGTATAGAACGAAGGGTGTGTGCAGGCCCACCAATATCACCTTCCGGTCCCCACAACCCAGTCAGACCAACGCTGAAACTTTATCAGGGAAGGAGAGCGTTTTCACAAGACCCATAACCATTCACAGCTGATGCCAGACCCCAGTGGAGGCTGTGGCCAGAGAGTATAGTATCACTACCACGCGGAGCTTCAGGAAGGGTCTCCAGCCGAAAAGACCCCAGCTCTCGGCGAAGACGCGCAGCGGGCCCTCTCCCATTGTCCCAGGCTGTCTGTGAGCTAGTCTGAGAGTTCAGCTGAGAGTCCATCCCAGTCTGTGTCTCTGGAGGGTCGGTTTCCTTGGGTCTTTGTGACCTTTGACATCTCCATGTGAGGGGGAGGGGCTTCCTCTGAGGGTCTGTTTCTGTATGTATAGGGTCAAGCCTTGATCTTATGGTGGATCCATGGGCCACAGGTCAGATTTGGAACACACTCCCGCACGGAATCATGCCCCACCTCAAGTCCTCAGGTGGGTTCAGGTGCTAAGACAGGGTTCAAAGGTGGCGCTTCATGTGCAGGGCCAGATGGTCTGAACGGGAAAATGCCCGCGGGCAGAGCTGGCAGCGGAAGGGGCGCTGCCCGGTATGCTTGCGGTAATGGCGAGTCAGCTCGTCCGAACGCGCGAACTTCCAGCCGCAGCCGTCCCACGTGCAGGCGTATGGTTTCTCCCCTGGGAGCAAAGGGTCCATGAGCATCGCTGCCCAGGCGCCACCTCCCTCCCCCCATTCCGTTTCTCCCTGCACTAGCTGCACCCCTTTGAGCCGAAGCAAGTGAGGGGCGTAGGGCACAACTACAAGATATGCTAGCTCTCAGGTGCTGACCCTGTGTCTGCTCCCAGCGCCCTCAGCCCCCATGCCTTTTCACCTGCACCTGCACCTGCACCTAGCTGCTCGCCACTTCATTTGCTCAGACACCTTGGCCCTGCCTTCTAATCCACCCCCATGCTTTGGCCCTATTCCCATCCCCCTCAGCGCCCCCCACCCCCGATTCCAGCCTTTCCCTTGCACCTCTGACACCTCCTGCAATTGCCCAGCCATCCCTGCCCCGTGGGCCCTGAGCCCCCAAATACACTGTTTAGGCCCTCTTGTCAGTGAGCTACGCTCTACCCCTGGCATGCCTGGCCCGGCCGGCCCCTGCACTCCAGGACTGGTGAATCCATCTAACCCTCCTCTCTGCCCCACCCTCTGCGCATGGGCCCCATCTGTCTTCCTTTCTCTGGGACTTGGCATATTCTTCGCTGACCAGCCTTCTATTTCCCAGTAGTTGTCGCTCTTGCCCTCCTGGCCTGCCTTTGAATCTGGGCTGCGTCCGGGTGACCCTCAAACCTGAACCTGCCCCGCTCCAGTCCTGCAGCCGGGCGTTCCAGCCACACCCCCACACGTTTGGCTCCGCCTCCTTGCCACGTAACCCGCGCTGTACTCCCCTGACCCAAGGCGCTAAGCTCCCCTCTTACCCCAACCTTGAATCTTAACCTTCGTGTCCTTAACTGCTCGAGCACGGCCCCGCCCCTCACCCGTGTGCGTGCGCAGATGGGCCTTCAGGTGCGAGCTCTTGGTGTAGCTCTTGCCGCAGCCCGGGTGCACGCACGTGTGCGCCGCCTGTCTCTTTCGCGCCCACGAGCGCCGGCTGCGTTTGGATGGCGCCGACTCCCGGGCCTCGGCTGGGTCTCCGTTGGGGGCTCCTAGCCCCGCGCCCGCCGTCCCGGGTCCCAGGCAACTGAGGAAGTGCGGAGAGACAGCGGGGGCGGGCGCGGGCGCCGGGAGCCCGCGGTAGAGCTGGAAGTGCCCTTGGTACTGCGGCACCGGGTACAGCGCGGGGTACGCAGACAGCAGCCCGTAAGGGGCGCCGGACGCCGCGGGCACTGAAAACCCAGTCCGCGGGAAGTAGCTGCCCGAGGAGCCCGCGCCCGACCCGGGGTACACTGTGGGCTGCAGTGGCTGCGCCTTGGGCTCGGGGGTCGGGACTAGGGCTGCGCCCACGAAGGCGTCGGGGCCCGGAGCTCGGGGGCCAGGGCGCGCCCACCCCGCGTGCTCCTCTGGACCCAAGAGCCCGGTGGCGAGCCCCAGGCCGCTGGAGTACGTGCCCAGAGTCTCCGGCAGGGGCGGGTACTGGCTTCCGGAGCCCTCGCCCGACGCCGGAGCGCCCGGGCGCGCCTCGCCGGTGGACTCAGAGCCCTGGAAGTTGGTGAGGAGGAGATCCAGGTCCCAGGCGACGGCGGACGATTCCCTCTCGTTCGGCACGTCATCCGACTCCAGCTTCACGTTGAGCGGGGGACCCGGGGGCCCTGGGCCCAGATCCTGCTCCTCGTCGGAGCGCCACCACTGCGGGAGGGTCAACATGAGGTGTCAGCTGACAGCCGGGTACCCTGCCCTTGGCACAGACTGGTTGGAGACTCCGGAGAGAAGTTTGTTTGCCTGTCAGTCTGCCTACCCTTCCCCTATACCTGCCCCCCTCCCAGTTGTAGGACAGAGGTTGCGCCATCTGGCTGGAGACGCCAGATAAGGCCTCCATTATCTGGAGTCACACTTGGGCATGGGGGGAGGGATGACAGTCAGAGGAGGAAGACTGGAGTCCAGCCTGGCCTCAGTTTCCCCCCAGAGCCTCCCTCTCCTTCCCCCATCTTCCAACCTGGGTGATTCAAACACCATGGCTACCCCCCTGGGGTCCCTGGTGGGGCAGTCGTTGAAGTGCTCAACGGTGACCTGTAAGGACCACAGCTTATGGATCTACCAGCCGGGCTGGGAGGGAGGTCTACTTCTTTAAAGACCTGGACGTTAGAAGCCCTGTGGGGCCGGTTCTACACCATCCCGTAGGGTTGCTGTGTGGGGGAATGAACTCGAGGGCAGTGGAGCTCTGGGCCCCGTGTTTTCTGGGGTTACCTGTGAGCCTCAGACACACAGAATGCCTCCAGCCTTCAGTGTCTAATTACAGAAATGGATCCCAGAACTTCAGGCCATTCCCCTGCCCACGCAGCCACCCTCTAACCCTGGTCAGGTCTCTTGATACCAGGCCAAGCCTCAGGCCCACACCTGCCTGCTCTGCAGCCAAGCCCCAGGCCCAGCCAGCCCACCTGGCCCCTGTGCGGTCCCACCTTCAGGAAGTCCTCCTGTGTGTCCGGGAAGGGGCCCAGAGAGGTCAACGTGCTGATGGAAGGCAGAGCAGTCTCAGCTGTGGCCATGGTGGCACCTGGGCCGGGGTGCACGCCCAAGGCCCTCCGGCCTCCTCTTCCTCAACTGCCTCGTGGGCTCTGAAGCTTCAGCGGCCCCTCGGAGAGTGCCTCTCCACTCAGCTGATTGGCTGCAGCCTCTGATAAGGGCTGGCAAGGCCAGGGTGGGTGGTTCTCACTTGGAGGGAATACAGCTCACCTCAGCCTGTTTGAGGCTGGGTCATAAAGACCGCCCCTGCCTCTGGAGTTAGATGTCAGGGGTTGGGGCTCAACTGCTGGGTAAAGTGAGGCACAGGGTACGCCCCCAATACATAACGAGACTTGGGGCTCTGCTTTCACTCAACCTTCCTAAAAGAGTCGGGGGGAGAATAACAGGTGGAACGGGTACTCTGGGAAGGAGCTGTAGGACCCCCTCTCTGCCAAGTGGGGCCCTGAAGCCCTCTCCCTCCCCAGTGAACAGCAACCGCACTGGTGGCGGGATTTGGCACCAGCTCCCTGCCAAGCTTTATCAGGCTCTGCAGACGTCTCAGGCTGCTATCAGGTGGGGACCCAGAACAGACAAAACTCTGTCCCCGTGAGTGGGAGCCCTGGGGGGGTTGGGACTTCTTAACTTGGTTTTCAAATGCTTGGGTTTTGAGCTCCCAGGGTCTGACTCCTTGGCTGCAGGGAGTTGCTGTCAATCAATCAGACCCCACCCCCATTATCTACCATAAACTTTCATTTGGTGCTCTGGGGAACTCAGCTGAGGGCAGCTACTTCAGCTCCAGTGCCAGGAGGTCTGGGGAGAGGGAAGTTCCTGGCTCTCCAGGGTGGGATGAATGGTTTGCCTCAGGCCACAGGAAGTGCTGGCATTCAGACCTAGGCCCAGGGCCACCCACCTTTGCCTGAGGCCTGACTGCTCTGGAATTTCCCTCTTGCAGTGAGCTGAGGTTCTACTCCAATGTCCCTGGGAGCCCAGGGGTGACCATGGGCAGACATCACCCAGAGTTATCGTTCATAGTCGCACAGGGCCTCTAGTTACACAGCGACAAGTCTCTGGACCCTCAATCACAGGCCAGTCTGTGGTACACATGAAAAGAGTTTGTAGCAATGAGTGCGCAAACACTACCTTTGATACAGGGTTCCAGCCATATCCCAGACGATCCCATTGAGTCAGTGACCCCACAGGGCAGAGTAGGATTGGCCTTTAGGCTTCTGAGACTGTCGATCTTGATGATGGGCATACACAGCCTCATCTTTCTCCTGAGAAGCAACAGGGTGGGTGGGAACTGCTGACCTTGCAGTTAGCAGCACAACACACAACCCACTAGGCCACCAGGGCTCCTCTTCATTCAAGGTGTCCTGACGCGCCCTGAAGTCAGCTCCCTGAGTCCAACAGAATGAAAACTGCCGGTCCTGCACCATGCCCACAGTTGTTAGATTTGAGCCCTTTGTTGCAGCCCGTGTCCATCCATCTCGCTGAAAGTCTTCCTCTTTACCACAGCTCCTCGTGGTACCACACCTAGTGTCCTGCCCCCAGGACTAAGCTTTCCTGATCACGTGTCCAAAGCACCGGATATGAAGTTCTTGGGTTCCCGGAGTGGGAAATGCTCGGTCCTTGGCAACAGTTCTTGGCTTCTTGGCTTAGCACAAGAAAAAATTCACACGGACTTAGTCTGCTTTGTGATCCAAGTGAGTTTCATAAAGGACAGAAGTTTCAGGTTTTACACAGGCACCCTCAGGGCACTTCACACCCACGTGTGGAGACCTGAGGCCAGAGAAACCGCTCAGGGACTGGAGCACCTGAAAAAGAGAGGCGTGGGCTCAAAGTTTTAGCCTTTTGGGGGCTTTCCGTTGGGAGGCGTGGTCGGAGGTACTGGTCGACCCCATTGGCTGAATTAAGCCCACCTGGCCTAGATGGAGGTCCTCTGAGGTGGACTGGCTTCCTGGCTCAAGGGCCTGAATTTGTGCATGCCCTCTAGCCTTTATCAGCTTCCAACTTCCTGTAAGGCCCAGGAGGGGTGGGGCCTAGGCACAAAGAGGGACTGACAACCCCTAGTTCCTGTTCTGCTACCTCACAAAGTCTGGCCACCCTCACGTCTATGCAGCCTTCTGGCATTACCTCTTCCACATCAGATCTGTTCTTTGGCAGCCTATAGTGTGGTACCGTAAAAGTAGATGGCAATTATCCCTCCCACAAAGGATTCCTCTTATAAGGGATTCCTGGGGAATCCCGTTCACAAGGATTCCTGGATGTTGTCACAGGGCCACAGACCCCTACTCAAACAAACGTAGATTTAGACACCGTATTTAAGACCCCACACACGCACCGTTCACGAGCACACCAGGATGTGGTAATGAAGCCGCTCTACGTCAGAACATCAGACGCAAAGCACATCCACAGGACTGTGCTGAGCCTAGACACCGCCTGTCATTATCAGCGTGTATAACAGTTAGGTCTCTCTCGTGGGAGAAACACCTTAGTCCTTGACTTCGCATAAGGAAGAATTCACACCGAAGCCCGGTTTGTGATCCAAGTGAGTTTTATGAACGATATTAGAAGTTTCAGGTTTACACCGACATCCTCGGGCCCTTCACCCCACCCCCACCCCCGCCTGCGGAAAAGCTGAGAGAGAGAGAGAAGACCAGGTGGGCCTTCTCAGTTGCTCCACCTGGGCCAGATGGGCCAATCCAAAGGTAATGCCCACCTAGGTGTACCGCCCCTTCCTGGCTGGAAGCACGCACCTCTGAGCGTGCATAATGGACACCCCAGTCCCTGTGCTAGCTACCTAACATAACTAGTCACCTTGCTTGGTCAAGTGGACCAGTAAAAAACCCAACTCACTGACATCGAGTCACAGCTAACTCACCGTGGTCCCCTGTGGGCTTTCAAGGCTGTCCCTCTTCACGGGAGTAGGAAGCCCAGTCTTTCTCCCTTGGAGCTGCTGGTGGTTTCGGACCACCAACCATGGGGATCACAGCCCAGCGCAGAACCACTACCCCACCAGGGCGCCTTTGGTAAAGCAGTGGGCAGTGAGAAAGAGGAAGGCCCGCAACGAGATGGATGGACACAGTGGCTGCAGCCATGGACTCAGGAAGAGGGACAGTTGTGAGGACAGGACGGACGGCAGGACACGGCAGTGTTCATTCTGTTGTTCATAAGGTCCCTATGAGTCCGAACTGACTCGATGGTACCTAAACACATAACCATTACTGACATAGTTGTATCCAACTGTTAGGTAGCAAGAGAGGGGGTTGTTCCTCTCCAAGCCTAGGAGTGCCTACAGGAAATCGGAAGCGGATTAAGGCTAACTGGCATGCGCCAATTCGGGCCCCTGAGCCAGGAGACCTGGGTGGGCCACAAAGTAGGCCAGGTGGGCTTAATTCGGCCAATGGGGTCAACCAGTACTGTCGACTGTGCCTCCTAGAGTAAGACCCTAAAAAACTGGAGCCTGGAGACCACCGCCCTCTTTTTCTGGCTGCGCCTCTGCCTTCTGTCTGGCCGTGTTTTGGGGTCTCTCTCTCTCTCTCTCTCCCCCTCCCCTCCACCTCCTCAGGTCGCCACATGTCGGGGTGCAGTCCTGTGTTCAGTTAACTATAAAACCTGAAACTTCAATTCTTTATAAAAACCTACTTGGATCACAAGCCAGGCTTCAGCATCAATTTCTTCTCATGGAAGCCAAGAATCAAGATATTTCCCACCCAAGGAATGTAACACAATCACAGGGTCACAGCCAAACACAAACGTCACTTGGATACAGACTCAAATGCCCTGAGAGTTGACGTTCACTTCGCCCAGGCATAGACACATCACCACAGACAGACACACAC